GTTTGATTTAGGTTTTGGCTTAATTGGTGTAATAATGAATTGAATATCGTAATTTGTTCTTGTATCATTTAATTGGGCAAATAAAACTGTACCATCACATGTGATATTAATAATTATTCAAGTAATTTAATCTTCATATTCTGATATTACAAATTCGTTCTATATTAATTAAAAAAATGTTTGTATTTTCCAATGTAATCCGAGTTCAAAATTATTTCATTTAATATGCATTTTATGTAAATTACTTTAATTATAAAGATGATATAGAAATTTTATAACATTAAATTATTGACGTCTATACATAGATTAAACATTTTTATAATATTTAATTTCGTTAATAAATTTTAATGTGTAATCACATAAGTAATTAATACTAAATATTACTTAATTATGAACCTACATATATCTCTAAATCATGTGTAACAAAACTTGATTTATTTGATTAATTTTACTACGAAAGAAATATTATCCAGCTGTACGTAATAAATATTAAGTAAAAATGGAATTTTTTCAGAAATAACTACATAGTTGATTACTTACATTTTCTTTTTATATTAATTTAATTGTAGTTACATAAAATCCAGGTTGGCCATGTAAAAATACAATATTTAGATACTTAGTATCTAATTTTATAGCATTTATATACAATTCAGCTTATGAATTGTAATTGCTGAATTGTAAAACAATACATTATTATAAAAATTTCAAAGTAATCTTGTATGTAGGTTGTAGCATACAAAAATTATTCATTTTTTTCTATTTTTCATTTTAAAATAAATTTTCTCAAAACTATATTAACACAATAATGAACACGCTCGATATTTTTTTATTTATATCGGAATAATTATATTTTTAATGTCGTAATAAAATGTGTGTGTATAATAGGCTTACTTGGGTTGATTTTAAGCAAGTATAACAAAAATACAAAAATATTATGTGCCTAGTCTAGATAATTAAAAATTTAAGGACTTTTTTAATAATAAATACATAAGTGTTTGTACGTGTATGAATGTATAAGGAGGACAGGAAGCAATTAACTACGCCTCAAGCCTGAGGATATTTTCATTTATTATTTAATTGTTTTGAAATTTTTTTTACATTTTTTTAAAATAAAACTTTAATTTAAATTTTATATTTTATAATTTTAAATATTTAATTAAAAATCGGAAATAAGTTTAAAGAATAAGTATTAAGAAAAACTTTAAATATAATTCCAGTAACTTTTATTAAGTGCAATTATTATTGAATATTTTATAAAAGAAATTCAATTAGAAAAAGATGTTTAGCCTTTGTAATTTAAATTCGCCAAAAGTATGTATAATTACTTTATTTTATTTTTTTATTTAAATAATTAAAATGTTTTATTTTAAAGTTCCTTTTTATGTGTTTGACATTGTTGTGCGGGCACTGTCGGACATACAATTTTTAGTTTTGTGTCTGTTTTGTGTCAATTTTTAGTTTTGTATATATATTAACAGTGCATCCCTATCACAAATATCTGGTTTGAAATATTTGTATTCAATGTTTTTTTTTTTTAACATAATTTTTGAAAAAGACCAAATTCTTTAGATTAAAATAATAAAATTTTCGGTATGGCAGAATGAATTTGTCCCTTGTTTTGGCAATTTTCTCGAATTTTGAAATTTACGATATAAATGTGAGAAATATAAGAAATATTTATTATTTAAGTAATTTGTGTTGGCTAACACTGTTTTTTACTACTGTTTTATACTACTTTTATTACAGTGCAAAACTATAATGCAACTCTACCAAGAAATCAACAGTTGCTCAAAATTGCTCAATTATTAAAAAATTTAAAATTCTCTTAAAAAATATTGTAATAATTTTACATTGAATTTTTTACAGTGTAGAAATTGTATTGCTTCTGAATTGAATGTATAAAATTGTTGGATTATTATATTTTAAATGGTTTTATGCTAAAATAAAATATCATGCAAAATCAATTGAATAACAAAATTACAAATTAAAATTTTAATCATAAATAATTCTATGATTCATAACTTTCAATTTTATTATAAAATACAAAAATTGTATTCCTTGTAAATTTTCTATTAAGTTCAACTAAACACACACATGCATAGCACTTTTTTATATTAAATAACCCAGAAATAACATTGAAATTTATTATTGAATAATGTCGTTTTCCATTACTGTTATTACTATTATTATAGTTATTATTAATTTACAAACATGCTGACATATATTTTTATTTAATATTTATTATTTATTATAATTTTAGTATTACCCAATATTTTTGAATTTATTTTGTTATTTTTATTTTAATTTATTTATTTGGTTTGAAATTGAGTTTGTTATAGAAAATTAAATATTTTTTTTTATACTTATTTGATATTAAATTTTTTGTATGTGTAGAAGAATTGTGTACATACATACAATATGAATTGCATAGTTGATTGAATATTGAAATACAATTTAATTGAAAACAGAAAAAAAACATTGAATTGCATGACTTCATTTAATTTTTTTTTTTTTTGGAAATGCAAAATTATTAAAATTATAAAAATTTTCTTGAGAAAAATTAATTTTAATAGTTTTCATATTTTTTTATTGAATTTAGGAGAAAATTTCACAAAATAAAATTTGTATACTAAGAAAAAGGGAAATTTTTTTCTCAGTGCAAATTTTTGAGCCTAAATTCCTGAACAAATTTATCATTAAGCTAAGCAAAAATTTAATTTTTCATAATTAAATTTTTTTTTTTTTTATTTAATTTATTTTATCGGAAATTACGCGAATTTTTATAAAATTTAATTTACTTAAAATGAAATTGATTTTAATCAAATTTGAAAAATTTTATTTCGACATGCAATGAAATTTAATTTTGCAAAAAAAAACCAAAATAAAATCAAAAATTAAAATTCTTGCCAAATTGTAAAGATTTTTATCGTTCCTAATAGAGAAAAAAATATATATTTTTGTACTAGTTGAGCAAAATTATTTTCAGGAACATTTTGGCCATTAGGTTTTGGATATTGTAAAATTTAAATTTTTTCGAACTTATTGTTAAGGAATTTCTGAAAATTGTTCTCCAATTTCAATATGTTTAAAAAAATCTTTGATTTACATATTTCGTCCTATTTTTAAGAATTCGTTGGGAATTGGAATTAAAAATTGAGTATTCACATTAAAAATCCCTGATATCTTAACAATACTAGTATAATTTTAATTGCTGAATAAATTTTATTGCAAATTAATTTTGCACGTAATTTCGTGAAATGTGAAATCGTAATCAATTTATTTTATTGGGCAAGTGATTTTACGTGATTTGTGGTGAATAAATTAAATTTAGAAAATTTTACATTTTTGACCAAAGACTTTAGGAATTTTTTTTATTTTCGAATTTAAAAACTCGACCCCTAAGAATTTAACGTACCAAATGCCTAAGATATAATAGATTCCCCTTCCGAAGAATTTGATTTTGTAACAAAATTCATATCTTACTACTTTTAATAATTAAAACTTTGTATACGCACCGCAATTTCTCTCCCTTTTATATTTTCGAAAAATATTCTCTCATGTTTACGAGAGTGTAAGTATTTGTCATAAGTTGATCATATTTTCCAGAATGGTATTTAATCATTTGATAAATTAATAATTTTTTTTTTGTATAATTTTGCTGACATCAATTTATTTAAAAAAAAAAATTAATTAGAAAGGAAATTAGAAATTTGTTGAGAAAAAAAAATTATTTTCATCAAAATTTCATTTTTTTTTTGTTTTTTCATCAAATTAAAACATAAATCAATTTATAAAATTGCTGTTTTCAATTAACAAGAAAAAAAACATCATTTTTTATCATAATTTTTGGACTTTTTTTTTTGTAAACCTTGGAATAACAAAAAAAAAAAACAATTTATTTAAACAATTTTAATTTTTTTTCTCTTTCTGTGTTTAATGTGAGAAATCATGACGAAAACCACCGACATCAAAATTCCAAAAACTAACAAACTAATTTTTTTTTTCTTATTCTTTTCGCTTAATTTTTTTGGGATATTTGTTTTATTTTAAATATGAGTAGCAAGTATACACTGGAGAATTTTTTCTCACAATTTAATGTTGTGTTTTTTTTTCTAGTTAAAAAGTATACACAAATTATTATTTATTATACTTGCGAAATTATGATTTTTGTATAAAATTAAATAATTTATGATCTTTTTTATAATAAATTAATTTAAATTACATTAAATATGAATTTGCTTCTTGTATTTCGTAGGTATATAAAAATAATTGAAAATTTGGTAACTGGGGCCTCTATTCAATATTACAATTCCTAAAAAAAAAATATAATTGTTATACAAAATTATTACACAGAGAGAGAAATCATTTTTAAAATTTTATTTCAGATATGGTTTAGGAACACATTTATATTTTATAAGAAACCCACAAATATTGGTGATTAATGTCATTTTATTGATATGGAGACTTTAATACTATAATAAATTATTTACGTACTCTTTAGAATTTATGGCTCCGTAGGAGAAATTTATTACAATACTCTCTGTACTTCTTTCTATTGAAAGTTCAGTAGTAACAACGTATATATCTCCTTTTTAATGGAGTGGAGAATTTTGTTAAATGTAAAGAATGTAATGAAATTAGTTGAATATAACTCCAAAAAACAATATGAAACTGGGAAAAGATTTTTTTTTAATTAATTTATTTTTCTTATTAAATTTTTTGTACAAAAAACTCACTTGCAAATAGCAATTAATTTTTTCTAGCAATTTCTAGCAATTTAATTTTATTTAATTTTTTCCAAATCAAACGAGTAGTTGAATAATATTGAATGTTAAACTTCATAAAGCACAAAATATATAATAAATGTAAGTATTTATTATAAAAATTATTGTTACCCCGAAGAAAAATGTTCGCAACCACACTTTTTTTTTATTGTTATACAACTAAATTAAAAAAAAAAATCAATACTAAATTTTCTTATTTTTAATTAAAATTTTTAGGCTGATCAACTAACAGAAGAACAAATTGCCGAATTCAAAGAAGCATTCTCACTGTTCGATAAAGATGGTGACGGTACTATTACAACAAAAGAATTGGGCACAGTTATGAGATCACTAGGTCAAAATCCAACAGAAGCTGAATTACAGGATATGATAAATGAAGTTGATGCGGATGGTAAGTACATTTAAATTTCAATTAAGATTTTATACATATTTATTATTATAAAAATATTTACGTGATTAATAATATTATTAAAAAACCTTATGAGAGAACAAATTAATATTAATATGATCAAACAAATTTTATATTCGAAATTGCTAAATTTCTAAAATTGAGAAATTTTTATTCAAAAAATATTAACTCTTATACAAGTATAACAATTACTGTTTTAACAATTATTGTTATAAAGCATATTTCTAATTTATTAAATTTTTCATTTACATAAAACATTAAATTTTGAACACAAAAATGAATAGAAAGAGAAATTTGATTATTTTCATAATATTTTTAAAAAAATTATTTAAATTAATTTAAAAAAAAAGTAATATTTATTAATAATATTATTATACTAAAAAAAATTTCTAAGTAATTTACTTTTACTTCCTCAATTTTCTTAACAATAAGGAAATAAAACTCATTATGTATACAAAATACATGAGAGTAAGAGTATATAGAGTAAAAATATTAAAGGTATGGGGAGAAAGAATATTTTAAATTGGAAAAGAGAGAAAGTTAATTAACTTGATAATAATTGCCTTAAGAAAAATAAAATTTTTCTTTTATAGAGATTAATTTTCTTTTTGCAAAAAAAATTATTTAACATATAAATTAAATATATTAAAATTAAAATAAAATTAATGTTTATAAATTTTTAAAAAAAAATTCAAAGTTAAATATATTGTGATGAGATTATTTTGAAAGTTGATTAAAATATATAAAATTTCATATACTCAACACGAAAGTACAAGAGAAAAGTCAACAGTAAATTGAACTCATTTTATAAATATACTTTTATTACTACAATACTCAAGAGAGGTTTTATTGAGAGGCATGGAATATTGCAGTAATGTAGTGTATTTAAAGTTAACAAATAGTAAAAAAAGAGAGACTTTTAAAATAAGAATCGAATAATTTTCGAAATTCGAGATTTAAACAAATCTCTTCTGTGTTTCGATTTCAAATAATTTCTCCTGACAAAAAGATTAATTAACATTTTCTTTTGCGAAAACGATTTTCGTTCAACATCATGCTATAAGAAAGAGAAGAATAATTGAGACTATTCCTACTGAAGATTTTAGTACTAACAACAATTTTCGAATACGTATCTTATTTTCGAATTCAACTACTTTCTACACAAAATTTGACAACTGTCCTGGCAAATAATACAAAAATTAAATTAAACGGTATAAAGATATTCTTTTTAATTTCTTAAAAAGGCTTGTTCCACTTGAGAAATTTTTCGAAATTCTCTTTTCAAAAAAAAAGAGAATAATAATTCGTGATAATAATAAATAATTATTATGAAATTTTCATTTTTTGAATTATCCTTTTCACAGGAAATTATTATGATTTTATTTTCATCATAATAATTCTTCATTATCCATTTACGGTAACAAGAGAACAAAAAAAGAAAAAACTAAGTAGAATATTAAAAATATGAAAATGAAGAAAATAACACGGGCAAACTTCCTTAATATGTTATTAAAGTAAAAGTTAAAATTACTTTTCAACTTCCTGTTTTTCAAAATTTTATATTTTATTCCTTTTTCTTTTTATGGATCCTTAATAATTTTTTTCGTCTTATTTTATTTCTTTTATTCTTTTCTTATTCTTTTTCTGCTAAGTCTAACAATGTTCTATTTTTAATAAAAATTCTTATTTAATTTTTTTTTACGATATTGTTGTAAAATGAAGACGATATTGTAAAGTGAAGTGTTTTTGAAATAAAAATCAATGTCATTGGTCAAAGAAAATACTTTCAAAAGAAATTTTTTAATTTAAATTTACTACTTAGTATTTTGTATAATAAAAATATGAATATTAAAATATCCAAGCATAAACTGGATATAATTTAATATTTTACTTATATATACGATCAATACTTGTATAGGAAGTAATTATATAGTAACTATAATTCATGAAATATTATTAGTGTGATTAATTATTACAGTGTCTGTGATAGTAACATTTTTTGATTCTATAACAGCTAAACTAATGAGAGAATTTCCTAAATTACTGATTTTTGAATTACGATATCTTATTGAGAGTCAGGAATGACATAAAATTACAGTGAATACAGAACACCGAAGAGCGATTTTTCGTGGCCAAAAATCAAAATTCATATACTCGTAGAATAGAATATATGAAATTACGATAAGGAATTTGATCAACTGCATTAAGATAGCTTAAAATTCTGTTTTATCGTAGACGTTTTTTTTTAAAATCATCTGTTTCCATGTGTGTAAAATTGCAAAATACTGGAGAGTTACAGATTTTTCCGTTCCATTGTTTTTCTGTATTAAAAACTAAAGTTGTCCGTTGTTTTCGTTCTCCGCTCTGGCTCTTTTTTTACATTTAAGTAAAGAAAATCATATTACATAATTTTCTCTTAGGTCTTTCTAAAGAGATTCTTATATTCTCTATATTTATATTAATAAATATTATATGTATTTTTATTTAAGGGGTTAAGAATAATTTTACTTGTTTAATTCCGTCGATATGTCGTTTTATATCGTATTTTAATAAAATTGAGTATTATAAACAATATTATAACTCTCTTTATACTTCACCTGAATTTTATATCAATACAAACAGAAACTCTGGAAAGTACCGTTCACCTAAAATTATGCAATGCATTATAATACTTTTCTGAAATTTCGATTCCAGTGTTCTTTTCATAATTAGAATTTTTTTTTCAAAATATTTTACGGTATAAAATTTTTTTTGTACGAAAAACAAACCAAAAATCTAGAACATTAATTTTTATTTTATTTAATTTTTTTTTTATTATTTTGAATAAAACTTTATGTAAATTAAAAATTTTCTTATTCTGTATTTTTTTTTTGTATCTTATTTACATTTTTTCGTTATACCTAAAATACATAATATATTTAAATTTTTTTTTATTACAATTATTTTTTTTTTTTTCCTCTTATACTATTTAATTCTTTTGTTAAAAATTTTCAACTTATTCATCACTATTTTATACAGTTCGGTATATATGTATATATATATGCATGTGTATAACAATATAGTTAGATTATTCTTTTTAATACAAAGTAAGCAAAAAATTGGGTCAAATTCTTATAACAATAATAATAATAATAATAACAACAATAATAGTAATAGCAATAATAATAATAAAAGAGAAAAGCAAATAAATATAAAGGATGAGAGAGAATTATTTTGTTATATTATGATTGTACATAAGTTTTAGGTTTGTATTTGATATTTATGTTATATAGGCATAATATACGAATATGTACATGAATGTGTATTCATCATGTATATTTGCATAATATGTATGTATTAGAATAATAATAAGGATATTAACAATGAAAATAAAATGGTTTAAATAATAATAATAAAAAAATAAAATGAAATCTACAATGACTTTTTCTCTTTTGTTTTTTTTTTTTCTCTCTCTCTAGAAAACATTAATTTTTTTCTTCTTCTTCAATTCTTCTTTATATTGTCAAATTATACCGTTAAATATTCAGCTTTTTAAAAAATCGTATTATATACTTAAGTTACATAAGCGTTAAGGATATATGGAATATTTATGTATATATATATATATATATATATATATATATATATATATATATATATATATGTATATTAATATACATAATATAACATTATTACATTATACTTAAGTATTATAATGAAAATAAAATAAAAGAGAAAAAAAAAGTATGAAGAATAAAATATGTACTTATAAAAGGAAAAACAGGGTGTGTATAACAGGATTTTTAAATAAAATTTTTTTCATCCATATATATATTTCATTATACTTATAAATTCATATATATATATATATACATATTATTAATTTGAATTTAGAATGTCCATTTTAAAAAATTTATATTCAAATTTTTTTTTCAGGGTATTTGGAAATTAAAATTTTTTTGGAAATTTTGTTGATAATAGGGGAGGGGATTTTTTTTTTTCAATTCCAACAATATTATATATTTCTTGAGTTGTTCAATAAAGGTGAATTCATTGGTATACGTCGTATTTAGACGATCTAATTTTAGAGACGCTCTCATTTCTCTTATGAACGTTTGTCGTCTCTTTTGAAAGAGATAATTAAATATTTTTAAATGAATGAGTCCCCCCCTAGTAGGGAGAAGAAGAGAAGAGAGAAAGCCCCGAGTTTCTTTTACGGTAGCAAAAATTTTAAATTTATTTGTTATACTTATACTTATTACGTATATTTTAAATTGTTATACTAATTTTTTTCCGTTTTATTTGTTTTTATATCAAAATATAAGGACTTCAAAATTGAGAGAAAAAAAAAACATTTTAATCCTTTTGTGAAATCATCAAAAGCAGATTTATTATTTTTTTTTTTAATTGATTGAGATAAAATACACAGTAGCAAAGCAGAAGAAAGATGATAAAAAAAATACAATTGCGCAATAAAAAAACAAGTTTTTATTTATTCTTGTTTTTTTTTTTTTAGTTAATTTTTGTAGGTAATATTTGAACAAAACTTACACACATACACAACATGTATGAAATACATGTATGAGATTATACTGTGATACAAGTATTTTGATGGCATTGAATGGGTTTTTTTTTTTGCAAAGCAAAAAAGGCAGGATAATCATATTTTTTTTTAAGAGAAGAGCAAAAAAAACAAGATTATTTTCAAAATAAATTTTTCTTTTTAATATCCTTTTATTCTTGTACAATAATTGAGGATGTATGTTGGTGTGTTTTTGTGTAAACAGCAGCTATTACAACATTAAAATAACAAAGAGAATATCAAAAAACCAGAAAAAAACATAAACAAAAAATAATACCTTTTACAGGTATTATCAGTTTTTTTGTTCTATTCAAGCTTTCTTCAAATTTATTATCCTTTTATATCAGTTATGTATTCAATATATATATATTTATACACATACATAAATTTTAAATATTTGAATTTTTTGTATGTATGAATG